AAGCTATTCGAGTAGCGGCGCTCCACGTGAGACTGGCACTCCTGCCACACGTTCAGGTGAAGAAACACTTTCTATCAGCCCTCGGGGGCCACGCCTCGCTCGCTTCAATCATGATACACACAGCCAGATATTGACACCGTTACGAACTATGACACGCCCAGGAATTTCGTGAAAAATAACTGACAATCCGCGAGAGTATTACTTCATTTGCACTGTATATTCAGGCTAAAGAGTGATACAAATCTGTCTGATATTTTGGGTAATGTTTCGGCAGTAAAGGTGTACCTGACAGCTAATGCCTCAAGGCAGCAAGTTGTTAAGTGAACTGATGTTCTTACTCGGCTTTGACTACAGTACATTCTCAAGTTGTTTCAAACGCTGCCGCCAGCAAGTTATTAAATACTGTTGCTTCTTTTCCTGTTCCTTTCGACTTCACTATTTCATTCTCCTTTGGCAGGCCTTTGAAAACTCAATATCATCAATATCCTAACCAGCACCACTTAAAGGGCAATTCGATAAAGCGGTGATGCTGCAGTTTAGGACTTTGAATATTCTCTATGAAGAAATTAGAAAAATAAAGAGGAAGGCAGAGGTGTGTGCCCGACCTCGTGGTCCATAGGTAAGTTGGTAGCCCTGGACGGGAGATGAAGGCTGATCCCAGGCAAGCGACAGACTGAAGAACCCTGCTTGGATTAAACGAAGACCTGAGATCCCAGGCAATGACCCTACATGGAAGAGACATTCATTTTGCATATTAGGATACGTTTAAATGTGTGGAGAAGTAAAAATCAGTTTTCGGCCTACATGAATTTACTGTAAAATGACTAACATGTCAGTCATTGGCAATGCTGATTTTTAAAGAAACACAACATACAGGTCTTATCCAAAATGGTATTTTGAAAAGCATATCTATAATATGTATGTATCAGAGTGATTATGTGGGCTTAAAATTGATGAGTAATACAATGTTTTTGGTCACATTAGCAGAGCACTAAAAAGTACACTTGAATGTGTGTGTGTGTGTGTGTGTGTGTGTGTGTGTGTGTGTGTGTGTGTGTGTGTGAGTGAGTGAGTGAGTGAGTGAGTGAGTGTGTGAGCGGCATCAACAACAATATTGCTGTGGATCACCGCTGCTGAAATACTCATCGCGTCTCCGCCCAACACACGTACTGCATGTCCTCCTTTTTTCAATATTTTCACAAAAACAGTACGAGTGGCATTTTCAAAGGCTTCCACATAAATAGCGTTATCATGAAAACGGTTCCTGAGACTGTTCTTCGGCTATGTCCGCGTGTCTGTGATGCGTTCATGATTCTGACATGTGCAATGAAATACAGTGGTACTTATGAATGTCTCTTCATACGAAATTTTCAAGTTACAAAATGCCTCTATAGGAAAATATTGCCTATTGTTATGAAAGAAAATTCAAGATACAAAAGGTAAAAATACAGTTGGGGCAGCTCCGAGTTTCCTGAACGCATCATACTTATAGCTGCTCAACCATTGCTATTACCGAGCATCTTCCTGGCATCCCATTGGCTAGGAGGGACCTCGACCAAACATGTATATGTGTGTAGATAGATAAATAGATATTGTGTCTGTGCAGCGTCCTCGTCATTCGCTCCCCGGGTCATGAGGCTTTCCGATAGTTTTCCATAAATGTGAATCACCCAGAAAAAGTGTTCCACCAGTCCAACGATCGCTCACAATGCTGATGTTTGCCTTGGACATTTTTGAAGGATTATTAAAAGTCGATAAAATCAAAAGTCCTTCAGTTCTTTACAAAACGCCAGGCAAAAACCACTTCTGAGAGAGAACATTTGTTTCATATTTGGATGCATTTTTATGCTTGAGAAAACATTTATGTCTGAATTTTGGGGGTGCTTGGAACGCATTAAGGCATTTACCGGTACATGAAAAACACGTCTTGACTTACAAAGTTGTCTAGTTAAGAAATGTCTTCCAGAACCAATTAATTTTGTAAGTAGAGGTATCCCTGTAGACATTTGGATCATCTGCGGTACCTGAGTGTTACTTACTGGTTTGTTGATTAGCGGAAACCGATTCTCCAACACTGTTTGGGTATTGAGCAATAACAGTCACAAGGTAGTCTGTTCCCGACCTTAGAGCTCGTGCAGTAAAGCTTCTCTGACTAGCAGCCAGTGTCTCCTGCAGGAAGAAGTGTGTTCAGACACAAGGAGCAAAGGGGATTTTAAAATGAAAACATCAACAGCATCTGTATAATAAGCACAAGGCATGTTGATACTTAGCCTGAGTTCCCCATAGAGCACAATTGACTTAAGCTATAATTAGCTTCTTCAATCTCAGTCACACCAACGCAATAGCCAGCCACCTGCCTATAATAAATACTCCATCCATCTCAAACGACCTGCACTCACCTGCCGCAGTTCTGCTGTGATAGGTTGACCCTGGCCAGAGAGGGGCACATACTGGACCACATAGCCCCTCAAGGGCCCACCTGCTGAATTCCAGCGGAACCTGAGTGAATCAGACGTCACGCCTGTGAACTGAATGTTGGCTGGACTGGAATACGCTTCTAAGAAGAGAAGAGAAGCTGTTTTACACGGAGCAGACCTGGACAATCAACACACTTGGCTGTCATACGCTATGTGGATGAAAGTATTGAGACACACTTAACTAAGATCCATCCCTCATCTGACCAAGGCCTTTGAGACAATTTGGGAAAGGACTTTTGTATTTCAACAAGACTCAGTGCACATAACAAGGATAAAGGCATCCCTTGGATGATTTTGATGAGGAAAAACTGAAGTCCCCACATTTAACTGAATACGCTTCTAAGAAGAGAAGAGAAGCTGTTTTATACGGAGCAGACCTGGACAATCACCACACTTGGCTGTCATGCGCGATGTGGATGAAAGTATTGAGACACACTTAAGAACTAAGATCCATCCCTCATCTGACCAAGGCCTTTGAGACAATTTGGAAAGGCCTTTTGTATTTCAACAAGACTCGGTGCACATAACAAGGATGAAGGCATCCTTTGGATGAGTTTGATGAGGAAAAACTGAAGTCCCCACATTTAACCCCATGAGGCACTTTTGGGCCTGAAAATGTTGTACAAAGTCTTCCGTGAAGAGTGGAAGTTGCTTGAAACGACCCATTCCATAGCTTCATCTGTTTGCTTCTGCTTTCCTTGTATAGTATGCCGTGTCCCAACACTTTTGTTCCACCCGTAAGTTTGTTTTTGTTCCGTTATGTACCATCGCTCGCATAGACTCCGCCTGCTTCGGAGCACACCCGGGGGCTCACAAGCGGAAGAAGAGTGCCGAGCAGTTTGAAGTCGCCGACAAAGGAGATGAAATCACTGCTTGGCTTGGAGGAAATCTCAGACAATTCCTCACTATCTGCGCTCTTGACGCCTGGCAAAAAGATGCGGAAGGAATCAGAGCTGGTCTTTGACAGCGAGTAAACTGCACCTGCGATGCCTACCAACTGCAAAGATGTGTACCCCTTGACTACGCAGCTTCTGCGCTGGTTCCTGCACGCTGTCCTGGGACTTCCCGTCCGTGATCAAGATGGTGATCTGACAATTCAAAGGAGCATTAGAGGGCTGAATAATAGCATTAACATATTTCAGTGACCTGGCTGCCTACCACACCTTCGGGACGTTTCGGCTGTATGTGGGGTTGAAGAAATTATCAGCGACAAACTTGAGACCAGCACCGCTGCGCGTATTTCCGCCCTTGTAGTTCATATTCTGCACAGCCCTGATTAGCTCCGTTCCATTCAGGTATGCTGTCAAGGTGAACTCGACCCTGGATTTACAGAGGGATCCATTCAAACCTGACTGATTTGCGGTAAAGAAGTCAACTTCAGTGTCATCATCAGTTACCTGGAGGTGTCACTGTACTGTACAGCCCCAAAGCGAATTCCTGTCTCGCTGACAGAGCCTGCAAAGGGTTTGATGATTCCGGCTATAAAGCCCTTCACCTGCAGGAAGTTAGCTTTGCCAATACTGGAAGATCCGTCCACCAGAAAAACAATGTCTGCCGCTTGTACATGATCACATCTGCCTGTAAAATGGAGAATGCATAAAGAGACACAGGGATGAAAACATTCAGATGCCCAATATGAGAGATGAAGGCTTTTATAGTTCATTTAAATAGCAAATTGTCACCCTGAGCTTCAGCGTGTGTCATGAATGACAGCAGCAGCAGCAACGATACGGTGAAAATCCAGCGGCTCATATTTACAACCTGGGGGGTGCAGGGGAATACAGAGGAAGCATTATGTTACAAATTGTGTGTTGAAATGTTGATAACATGGAATCGCGACTCTAGCAACAGTTCGTTGCTTAAGTATAGCCACACACAGATTTGTCAGTGAATTGATTTCACCACATTCTAAAACAAACTCTCCATGTATATGTATCGCCGAACTTGTTCTGGGTTGCAGGGAGCTAGAGCCTATGCACAAAGACAACACCCTGACTTGCTCGTCCATCAATCTCAAGGCACATTTGGACAGACAACCTTTGACACGAACATTTTCACTGAGTGTGAATTGAAACCACACTGGCTGGTTGGTAGTCAGGCAAGTGAGCCTTTACGACAAACATTATGGATCGCGTTGCCTTTACATATGCACAAGCTCAACAAAATCAAGAGGCAAACAATTGTTTTTGACAAACAGCTCACAGATGTTGGTCGAATTCCAGAATCTTCACTCGCCTATACAGTATATGACAGATACAGTAATAGTGTCAGTGAATTGATTTCACCACATTCTAAAACAAACTCTCCATGTATATGTATCGCCGAACTTGTTCTGGGTTGCAGGGAGCGAGAGCCTATGCACAAAGACAACACCCTGACTTGGTCGTCCATCAATCTCAAGGCACATTTGCACAGACAACCTTTGACACGAACATTTTCACAGAGTGTGAATTGAACCCACATTGGCTGGTTGGTAGTCAGGCAAGTGAGCCACTGACTACACCACTTTCAACATAAATACCCATACTGGAAGATCCGTCCACCAGAAAAACAATGTCTGCCGCTTGTACATGATCACATCTGCCTGTAAAATGGAGAATGCATAAAGAGACACAGGGATGAAAACATTCAGATGCCCAATATGAGAGATGAAGGCTTTTATAGTTCATTTAAATAGCAAATTGTCACCCTGAGCTTCAGCGTGTGTCATGAATGACAGCAGCAGCAGCAACGATACGGTGAAAATCCAGCGGCTCATATTTACAACCTGGGGGGTGCAGGGGAATACAGAGGAAGCATTATGTTACAAATTGTGTGTTGAAATGTAGATAACATGGAATCGCAACTCTAGCAACAGTTCATTGCTTAAGTATAGCCACACACAGATTTGTCAGTGAATTGATTTCACCACATTCTAAAACAAACTCTCCATGTATATGTATCGCCGAACTTGTTCTGGGTTGCAGGGAGCTAGAGCCTATGCACAAAGACAACACCCTGACTTGCTCGTCCATCAATCTCAAGGCACATTTGGACAGACAACCTTTGACACGAACATTTTCACTGAGTGTGAATTGAAACCACACTGGCTGGTTGGTAGTCAGGCAAGTGAGCACAGCAGCAGCAGCAACGATACGGTGAAAATCCAGCGGCTCATCTTTACAACCTGGGGGGGATACAGAGGAAGCATTATGTTACAAATTGTGTGTTGAAATGTAGATAACATGGAATCGCAACTCTAGCAACAGTTCATTGCTTAAGTATAGCCACACACAGATTTGTCAGTGAATTGATTTCACCACATTCTAAAACAAACTCTCCATGTATATGTATCGCCGAACTTGTTCTGGGTTGCAGGGAGCGAGAGCCTATGCACAAAGACAACACCCTGACTTGGTCGTCCATCAATCTCAAGGCACATTTGCACAGACAACCTTTGACACGAACATTTTCACAGAGTGTGAATTGAACCCACATTGGCTGGTTGGTAGTCAGGCAAGTGAGCCACTGACTACACCACTTTCAACATAAATACCCACTTTACGACAAACATTATGGATCGCGTTGCCTTTACATATGCACAAGCTCAGCAAAATCAAGAGAAGAACAATTGTTTTTGACAAACAGCTCACAGATGTCGGTCGAATTCCAGAATCTTCACTCGCCTATACAGTATATGACAGATACAGTAATAGTAATCAAAACGCCATAAATACTGCAACTATGCAGAGAAAAACAGCAGAGTGATTTTTTTAACATCACAAAGGAATGCGAAAAAAAACAACGATTCATCATTAGGAATTTGGTCATTTTCATTGCGGGGCCTGCCTGACCCATATCAGAGTGTCAGAGCGCCTCCAGAGTGTGAATTGAACCCACATTGGCTGGTTGGTAGTCAGGCAAGTGAGCCACTGACTACACCACTTTCAACATAAATACCCACTTTACGACAAACATTATGGATCGCGTTGCCTTTACATATGCACAAGCTCAGCAAAATCAAGAGAAGAACAATTGTTTTTGACAAACAGCTCACAGATGTCGGTCGAATTCCAGAATCTTCACTCGCCTATACAGTATCTGGCAGCTCCAGTATTAACAATCAAAACGCCATAAATACTGCAACTATGCAGAGAAAAACAGCAGAGTGATTTTTTTTAACATCACAAAGGAACGCGAAAAAAAAAAAAACTATTCATCATTCGGAACTTGGTCATTTTCATTGCGGGGCCTGCCTGACCCACATTAGAGTGTCAGAGCGCCTGCCTGCTCCTGTCGCTCCCCAATGTCCCATCTCAGAAACGTTTTTTTTTTTTTTTAATGACAGCATATTTGAAAGTGCCGCAAGTCTCAATATAGTCCACACCTGGATTCTTTCAAAAGATGACCAAACCCACACAAGACCACCTGAGAATGGAACATTGCAAATGAGTATAAAAGCCTTGAATATAAACTCCACCTCGATTCAAGATGACAGAGAAAGAGATGAAGTCTCATTGCAAAGTTTATGGAGGAAGCCCAACCCGCAAGCGAGTTCCAGAAGCTTAACGCCGACAACATCACAAAGTGGTGATTTAGGGGCAAGTCGGAACCATCACAGAAACCAGAAATGGCAATTCCCCTCAGATATAGCGTGCAAATGGTGGGAGATGCTGTCACTCAGCCAACATGCCATGGAAAGAATAGAACTCTGGTTTATACATCGCAGTTTATCATAACAATCCCTTAGTAGTGTGAAATGCCATATCCTGTGGGCTTTGAGCGGCGTAAACTTTTGGTTTTGTGTTAAGTGCTATAATCCCCTGCTGATTCCATGAAATAATTTCTACATCACTCATTTTCGTCTATGAGTTTTGCTTTGATGGTAGACTGCAAAAAAATGTTGGGTGAAGTGAAAATTTCAAGGCCGCAAACTTCAATAACATTTGAAGTTGAGCAGTTCAACGAAATGTTTTCAGCTTTCCTGCATTTCACAACAAAGAAAGAAGTTGTCACTTTTATGGAGCTATAGACGTTAAAACGGTTTGCTTGATGTGTTGCAAAAAAAAAACGTAAATGACTGTTTCAGGCCCCAAAATACTTTATTTTTTTTTTTTTACATTGTATTAAAATATATCCACATATTTTAAAAACATTTAGTGTCATAACCATCCCAAACAAGCCCAACATCTTGTTCTTCACTCTGGTGTGAAAAGTCAACTATTTCAAGAAACATCAACACATTTAAATATTTTTTGCAGAATGTATACTGAACTTTCTGTGCATGTACACAATAAATTCCCCTGTAAAAATTCAAAGATGAACATATGCAGCAAAAACAGAGCCCCCTAATGAAGGGATCACATCCTGCATAAATTAGTCAGTTCCTAATCCAAGCTAAACATCCTCTTCAACCCCAAATCTGCTTGCCTGTAGTCTCCTATTACCAGAACTGTTGCACAACACGATTTAAAAAGCCAGATGGACTGATACAACCTTAAATGGGTTTCCTTCTCAAGTACGAAAAGGAATGAATTTAGTCACCCACGCATCCATTCAAATGCTTTCATGTATGTCCACCAAAGTGCTAAATAGTCCCAGCAGCTTTTAACAATATCAAATGCCTTCATCAATAACACATTTGGGATGAGTCCAGAGGCCTCCACAGCCCAAAACGTACACCGAGTACGTCCACGGCAATGTAGAGAACAAAAAAAAAAAAAATGAGGAGGAGTGATGAAGAAAGATGAGTGAAGGTGAGACACAGAAGAGGAGGATTAAGTGTCATCGCTGCACTTAAAGTCTTTGAGAGACATTGTTTAGACACCCCAGACATATGCGGAGGGGGGGAATTTCTATGTCTAGTATGTGCCAGGCCACAAGAAAGACGTGAATGCTGTCAGATGGCGAACACACAACACAAAAGCGGCGGAGGAAGCGAAGGGATGATATTCATTTTCCCCGGTCTGCACCATCGTGTGCAAAGGACCAAAGTGCTCTTCTCTTGCACTAAATGAGTTCAGCTGTGTTACATTTGAACATTCCTCATTTTCCAGCGCAACTCGAACAATGAAACGGAGGTTGCTAAGGAAAACTTGCAGATTTGATCAAGCTTTTTAAACACCTCCAACCCGATGATGTTAAATGTTAAGCATGTGAGACACATTAAGAGGCCACAATTATTTCTGTTTTATTTTTTTTCAGAAGAAAATGTAGACGTCCACAATCCCGCTGACTGCAGAAGAGCAATACATTAAGGAGTGGTGGTTCTTTGGCTACATTTCAAATTGTTCTATATGGAGATCAAGAGTGTGCAAGCATGCGCATGCAGAGCAATGCCGAAGAAGAATTAAACAGGGAGTTTAAATTACATCCTAAACAGTTCATTAATCATGTGGTATATCTTCTCCTCAGATCAATATGGTCGGAAATAACATAATAAAGTCTCACCTGAGGTTCTTTGCTCCGTGTACCGAGCTACAGCCTGCTGCTCTGTGCCTCTCCACCTGTAGCATATCCAGCCAACGCTCCCAACTCAGTTTCTGCAGCGCTCCACAGCTTTGGGCTGCTGTGCGTCACACCGTATCCTACAACACGTTTGGAGCTCAGCAGTTGGCGTCCTGCATCCCTACAGGAGAGTGTCAAAACTGCAAAGGTTTTTTTTTTTTTTTTTTGGTTACTGGGACAGCTTTGCCTGGTGTGGCCTCAACACAAGCAGCAACATCAGGGGCGGCAGAAGAACAGTTCAGACTTGTTCAGATGCCTAAAGGGGACGACTGATTTTCCTCCTATATCTCGAGTCAGCCTCCTTCGCTTTGCCTCTTGTCCCTCCCTGCCCCATATGCAGGAGATCTGGAATAGATGAAACTGGAGCAAAATGACTGTCTCCATTAGAGTCGGTTCAAGGCGCTTACTGTCATGCAATGGAGATACACTATGGTAAAGAAATAACTTTTGGGGTATTCCCAATTGGGTGGAATACCAAGATGTACTGGTTGTACATTTTTGACCCTTGGTGCAAAGAATTACCATATGAGATCAATTTATGTGAATTATACATTGAGGGTTATGCAGACACAAACAATGAAAGGGTGGACAGTGATTCACTATCCCACAGGGAGCTGAAAATGAAGCATTTAGGTCACTTACATTTCAATCAATAGACTAAGGTAATTTAGAACAGTGTATTTTTGTGGACCTATGTGACGACCTTTTGATCAGAACTTTGTCCAATTACTCAAAATTGGCAAGAACCAGGCATCGCTCGTGCTCACCTTCTCACGGGCTATAATTCAAAATTGGCACATGGTGGGAGATGCTGTCACTCAGCCAACATGCCATGGAAAGAATAGAACTCTGGTTTATACATCGCAGTTTATCATAACAATCCCTTAGTAGTGTGAAATGCCATATCCTGTGGGCTTTGAGCGGCGTAAACTTTTGGTTTTGTGTTAAGTGCTATAATCCCCTGCTGATTCCATGAAATAATTTCTACATCACTCATTTTCGTCTATGAGTTTTGCTTTGATGGTAGACTGCAAAAAAATGTTGGGTGAAGTGAAAATTTCAAGGCCGCAAACTTCAATAACATTTGAAGTTGAGCAGTTCAACGAAATGTTTTCAGCTTTCCTGCATTTCACAACAAAGAAAGAAGTTGTCACTTTTATGGAGCTATAGACGTTAAAACGGTTTGCTTGATGTGTTGCAAAAAAAAAACGTAAATGACTGTTTCAGGCCCCAAAATACTTTATTTTTTTTTTTTTACATTGTATTAAAATATATCCACATATTTTAAAAACATTTAGTGTCATAACCATCCCAAACAAGCCCAACATCTTGTTCTTCACTCTGGTGTGAAAAGTCAACTATTTCAAGAAACATCAACACATTTAAATATTTTTTGCAGAATGTATACTGAACTTTCTGTGCATGTACACAATAAATTCCCCTGTAAAAATTCAAAGATGAACATATGCAGCAAAAACAGAGCCCCCTAATGAAGGGATCACATCCTGCATAAATTAGTCAGTTCCTAATCCAAGCTAAACATCCTCTTCAACCCCAAATCTGCTTGCCTGTAGTCTCCTATTACCAGAACTGTTGCACAACACGATTTAAAAAGCCAGATGGACTGATACAACCTTAAATGGGTTTCCTTCTCAAGTACGAAAAGGAATGAATTTAGTCACCCACGCATCCATTCAAATGCTTTCATGTATGTCCACCAAAGTGCTAAATAGTCCCAGCAGCTTTTAACAATATCAAATGCCTTCATCAATAACACATTTGGGATGAGTCCAGAGGCCTCCACAGCCCAAAACGTACACCGAGTACGTCCACGGCAATGTAGAGAACAAAAAAAAAAAAAATGAGGAGGAGTGATGAAGAAAGATGAGTGAAGGTGAGACACAGAAGAGGAGGATTAAGTGTCATCGCTGCACTTAAAGTCTTTGAGAGACATTGTTTAGACACCCCAGACATATGCGGAGGGGGGGAATTTCTATGTCTAGTATGTGCCAGGCCACAATAAGAAGACCTGCTGGCGGGAGGTGAACGAGTCCTCTTCTGACTGCGTATGTGTGGGTCGGGGTGGGGGTTGCCTGTTACTCCCGACTATGAGGTGATGAGGTGAGAGAGCAGGCGTCCACTTCATGACTGCAGCCTCACCTAGTATGAGGATTAGCGTCAACCTACAATGGCTCAGGAGGTGAGGGGGGTGTATTCCATCCCCGCCCCCCCACAAAAAAAAAAAAAAGAGAGACCCTCTCTTGTTTCCTTGGCAACTTGATCCATGTGGATGATTGTAGTTAGAGCTTTGATGGATTCCCAAAGTGTTCAAATCAAACGTTGTCTCGGCGCCAGCTTCACGCGAGCGAAGCTGCAGATTAAAGTGCCGCCATATGCTTTGTGATTGAGGACCACCTCCGCACGGGATGGACGGAAGTCCCGTCGATGTCGTCGTCGAGCTGGATGCAGGCTATCTCCATGGCTTCGTCATAAATGATGTCATCATTTGCACCCACTCTTCAATAACACCCTTTTCTGCATCATTTTTTAAAATTATACGATTCAACTGTCTCTCTGTCGGGCAGATTTGACACTTCACACCACGTAGCTGCTGCTCATCATCGCTCGTCAGTGGGAAAAGATGTCAGTTAATGCTTCGGGTTTTTTTTTTTTTTTATTTCTCAATTTTAGACTCCTACTCTTCATTGTCAACCCTTTATTCTACAGATTTTGTGTTATTTTTAGATTTCGTGGGGTTTTTTTTTTTTTTTTTTGGTTACTGGGACAGCTTTGCCTGGTGTGGCCTCAACACAAGCAGCAACATCAGGGGCGGCAGAAGAACAGTTCAGACTTGTTCAGATGCCTAAAGGGGACGACTGATTTTCCTCCTATATCTCGAGTCAGCCTCCTTCGCTTTGCCTCTTGTCCCTCCCTGCCCCATATGCAGGAGATCTGGAATAGATGAAACTGGAGCAAAATGACTGTCTCCATTAGAGTCGGTTCAAGGCGCTTACTGTCATGCAATGGAGATACACTATGGTAAAGAAATAACTTTTGGGGTATTCCCAATTGGGTGGAATACCAAGATGTACTGGTTGTACATTTTTGACCCTTGGTGCAAAGAATTACCATATGAGATCAATTTATGTGAATTATACATTGAGGGTTATGCAGACACAAACAATGAAAGGGTGGACAGTGATTCACTATCCCACAGGGAGCTGAAAATGAAGCATTTAGGTCACTTACATTTCAATCAATAGACTAAGGTAATTTAGAACAGTGTATTTTTGTGGACCTATGTGACGACCTTTTGATCAGAACTTTGTCCAATTACTCAAAATTGGCAAGAACCAGGCATCGCTCGTGCTCACCTTCTCACGGGCTATAATTCAAAATTGGCACCACAAATGACAGCCTACAAAGCGATCGTCAACATAAATCAGCACTTTTCAAACGGATTCAATAAAACTGTGCGGTTATAATCCTCCAAGGGAGTAAACAGCTACACAGGCAGACTGAGAAGGGCCTGAAGAAATCAGTGCGCGGCAGATGTGGATGGCGCTCTTATAAAAGCCATGTTGCAGCCCTCATGTTCTCCAGACGAGTCTTTATGAGCCTGTATCGGGATAGTAAAGCACATGGGAGGGTCTGCTTCCATCTTCACTTTGCACACAACATTCCATCTTCAAACCGCAGTTTAGCATCTTCAGAGCATTCTATTAGTCTGCTGCATGTAAGGAAAACCATGTACTCATTACGGTGAAGATACACATCACCATGTGGTGCATTTTCAGTCAACGGGTCATTTTCTTTTCCACTTGATAGCACATTATTGTGGGAGTGGATTTTCTTCTGTCATTAAAAACAGACCGGCGACTTCATGTTGTTTTGACGCACAGCTTCTAATGTTGTTCAAATCATGTTATACTAAAAAAAAAAAAAAAAAAAAAAAAAAAACAAGTTCCTGCCCTTGCGATGATGTTTTCCCATCAAGTTCTCTCTTGTGCAGCTGGACAGTTGTGCAGCCAGGCTTTCTATTATGTTCTCTAAATACCGTCTGTCTTGAAGAAGAACAGCAGGCAGACAGGTGACTTCCTCTGTGACAGAAGCTGGGTAGAAAGAGAGTGGAAAACAAACAAGAGAAGCCTTTAATAGTCAAGTTGAAGTTAATGTTGAAATTTGGACAAAGTAAAAGGTGGCTACTGCAAAAGAGACCAAGGTTTTTTTTTTTTGGGGGGGGGGGTATATGCCTCGAAAGTCACACGAGAACCAAACAGCACGTATGCATAACAAAATGTCATATCTCACAACATACTGCATTGCTTTCGAGTGAAATCATATTTGTTTGGAAATACGCTGTATAAATGTTTGAAGATAGTTGTTGAAAACATGAGAAGACTGACAACTATACTGTAAGTGTCAGAATATATTTTTTTCCAGATTTTTGGGGTGTCGCAAAGACAGCACCCAGTGATGCACTTGCACGTCCAATATGAGACATTTTAAAATTAATTAATTGCCATATACTGATTCATTCTTATTAGAGCACACGCTAGTGATTGCGGAAATAGCTGTCTGCCACAAACATGATTTAAGGTTTTGTTGTAGAGAACAAAAAAAAAAAAAATGAGGAGGAGTGATGAAGAAAGATGAGTGAAGGTGAGACACAGAAGAGGAGGATTAAGTGTCATCGCTGCACTTAAAGTCTTTGAGAGACATTGTTTAGACACCCCAGACATATGCGGAGGGGGGGAATTTCTATGTCTAGTATGTGCCAGGCCACAAGAAAGACGTGAATGCTGTCAGATGGCGAACACACAACACAAAAGCGGCGGAGGAAGCGAAGGGATGATATTCATTTTCCCCGGTCTGCACCATCGTGTGCAAAGGACCAAAGTGCTCTTCTCTTGCACTAAATGAGTTCAGCTGTGTTACATTTGAACATTCCTCATTTTCCAGCGCAACTCGAACAATGAAACGGAGGTTGCTAAGGAAAACTTGCAGATTTGATCAAGCTTTTTAAACACCTCCAACCCGATGATGTTAAATGTTAAGCATGTGAGACACATTAAGAGGCCACAATTATTTCTGTTTTATTTTTTTTCAGAAGAAAATGTAGACGTCCACAATCCCGCTGACTGCAGAAGAGCAATACATTAAGGAGTGGTGGTTCTTTGGCTACATTTCAAATTGTTCTATATGGAGATCAAGAGTGTGCAAGCATGCGCATGCAGAGCAATGCCGAAGAAGAATTAAACAGGGAGTTTAAATTACATCCTAAACAGTTCATTAATCATGTGGTATATCTTCTCCTCAGATCAATATGGTCGGAAATAACATAATAAAGTCTCACCTGAGGTTCTTTGCTCCGTGTACCGAGCTACAGCCTGCTGCTCTGTGCCTCTCCACCTGTAGCATATCCAGCCAACGCTCCCAACTCAGTTTCTGCAGCGCTCCACAGCTTTGGGCTGCTGTGCGTCACACCGTATCCTACAACACGTTTGGAGCTCAGCAGTTGGCGTCCTGCATCCCTACAGGAGAGTGTCAAAACTGCAAAGGTTTTTTTTTTTTTTTTTTGGTTACTGGGACAGCTTTGCCTGGTGTGGCCTCAACACAAGCAGCAACATCAGGGGCGGCAGAAGAACAGTTCAGACTTGTTCAGATGCCTAAAGGGGACGACTGATTTTCCTCCTATATCTCGAGTCAGCCTCCTTCGCTTTGCCTCTTGTCCCTCCCTGCCCCATATGCAGGAGATCTGGAATAGATGAAACTGGAGC